CTAAATACATGGTTAGATTCAGCATATCAAGGAACCCCATATATTCAATTTTTGTTGAAATCAAACAAAGTTCAATTTTGGACCCCAATTTGGACCAACTTGAAAACTGGGCCAAAAATCAAAAATCTAAATACATGTTTAGATTCAGCATATCAAAGAACCTCATATATTCAATTTTTGCTAAAATCAAACAAAGTTTAATTTTGGACCCTTTGGACCTTAATGTAGACCAATTTGAAAACTGGACCCAAAATTAAAAATCTAAATACACTGTTGGATTTGGCATAACAAATAAATAAATGTGATCAAAGATTTTACAAATTTAATGCGCCATACTGTGCAATTAAAGATTTCTTCTTGAAATTTTTCAATATTTGAAATTTGAAAAAAAAATAATATTTGAAGAAAAATTTTTTTAATTTCTGAAATCTGAAATGAGAAAAAATTGACCCCCCACAATTTCTTTTTATCCCCCCCCCCCTTTTTTCCCCCAAAAAATTCTTTCCCTCAAGATATGGTCATAATCTCAATTCAAATTTCCAATGGAGTTGGCAACCATAATTACCCATTTAAATTTACCATAGTGCTAACTTAATCTATTTTATAATAGAATTAAAAATATAGTGTCAAATCTTTTAATGGTTTTTTTTGTAAAAAAAAAAGATGCAACATTTGCAGATATTTTTACTGGTCTTCCTTTATAAATATGCATTTCTTTAAACATAATTTAAAAGCAGTGTAAGGGAAGTAACCAAAACGTTGTATTTTGATTACCTCCTTTACACTGTTTTAAATTATCTTTATTGTTCATTAACCATTACTTTATACATAATTTAAAAGCAGTGTAAGGGAGATAATTTCAATGATGTATTTGATTTATCTCCCTTACACTGCTTTAAATTATGTTTTGTACTAAAGTATTTGTCCATTAACCAGGACAACCTTGTTTTTCCCCCTTTTTTGCCCCTAATTCCTAAACGGTCTGAGCCATAACCCCCCAAAGCAAATCCTAACCATCCCTTTGTGGTATGGAAACTTGTAGTATAATTTCAGAGCGATCCATACACCGTTCCACAGTTATTGTCTGGAAACTAGAAAATGCTTATTTTTGGCCCCTTTTTGGCCCCTAATTCCTTAACTGTTGGTACCATAACCCCCAAAATCAATCCCAACCTTCCTTTTGTGGTATTTAACCTTATGGTCAAATTTCAAAAAGATCCATTTACTTAAACTAAAGTTAGAGTGCGAAAACCAATGTGTATTCGGACGACGACGACGCCAACTTCATACCAATATACGACCACAAAATTTTTTTGCGGTCGTATAAAAATGCTTGTTTTTAGCCCCTTTTTGGCACCTAATTCCTAAAATTTGGAGGCAATTATCCCCAAAATCAATCCCAGCATTCCCTTTGTGATATGGAACCTTGTGGTACAAAGTCAGAGAGATCCATACACTTACACACAAGTTATTGTCTGGAAGTTACAAAAATGCTTATTTTTGGCCCCTAATTCCTTAACTGTTGGTACCATAACCCCCAAAATCAATCCCCACCTTCCTTTTGTGGTATTAAACCTTATGGTAAAATGTCATAGAGGTCCATTCACTTAAACTAAAGTTAGAGTGCGAAAACCAATGTGTCTTCGGACGACTACACCAATGTCATACCAATATACGACCGCAAAATTTTTTTGCTGTCGTAAAAAAAATAAAGAGTTTTCTTACGAAAATACTATTTCCAAAACAATCGTGAATGTTACAAATAAAGATCAACTTCTTTTTAGAATTATTGCTACATTCATTAGAAATAATATGTCCATGAAAAATTAAAGCTGTGGCATTTTCTGTAAACTGGAATACATGTGTTCACAGTGAATGAACATGCAAAACTCTACAAACATAATGGTTTTCATCTACACTTGGCCTTATATACATTCAGGAACCCCTCGTATACACAACATTGAATGACAATCAAAACATATTGAAATTAAAAACATTCTGCTATTTTAGTAAAGTGTTCATCTCGTAAATACAAATTCATTTATTTATTAAATTTTCCCCTTAAATGAAATATATCGTGCAGATCAACTTAAATTTCAATTGTCGTACTATTGTATTCATCAGATAAAGATAACATTTGACTTTAACGATATAAATATGTTGTAAAACAGCCATTGCCTACTAACAGTTAAGGTACACAGTCTGACACATTTTATAGATATCCACAATATGTACACACGGAGAAATAAATTGAGCAATTTGTAAAATTGTAATCAATACAAATCGGAGAAATAGTTAAAGTAAAATTATTGTTTTCTTCCAATTGTTGAACAGTGCAGAGTATATTTTAATGAAGATCTTAATGATTTGTTTAAGCTGCCCATCTAAACTGTTTACACATTCATGTTGCCTGTTGGCATTGAACTTAAATGCATTTATCAAACATAGCTAAGACTACGTATTTTGCAAGATATCAGGATATATAGGATTTCATAGTTGTTGGGGAACATCTTTTCATTATATCTAATTTCGTTAGTAGAACGGGATGCTAATGATGCACCATCTAGGTGTATGTCAATGAGACTTACACCCAATGACAGCATGGACAGATACAATAAAACATCCTCTACGGCAAAAATTGTTTTTCTTAAAAAAAACCAAACAAACTAGAGGCTCTAAAGAGCCTGTGTCGCTCACCTTGGTTTATGTGCATATTCAACAAAGGACACTCTCCAATATTGTAGACGAGAATAGAATTCATGACAAAAATCTCTGTTTTGTTGATCTTGTATTGCTGATCATTTAGTCTGTTTAGTTTCTCTCTATATTCTTTAGTTTTTGCTCAAAACGCAAAAGAGGGTAAAAAAAATCCTCATTTTAGGGCAATCACTCCTATAAAGAGTGAGTCTACTAACTATATCGGCAAAATTTTACTTGTTAGAAGATCTTGCCTTGCTGATAATTTTTGTTATTTAAAGTGTCTATTTATCTATTATAATATAAGGCAAAACGCAAAAAAAATGGTAAAAATCATCATTAAAGGACAATAACTACAATAAGAAGTCGTCGGATGATTTCCTCCATATTGTCTTTATTGTAGATCTTGTCTTTCTTATCATTTTTGCTTATTTAAGTTTCTATCTATCAATATAATTTTTAAGATATAAGGCAAAAACGCAAAAAATTGGTAAAAATCGTCATCAAAGGGCAATAACTCTAATAAGGAGTCGACTGATGATTTCAACCATGTTAGACTTATTTGTGTAACTTGTCTTGCCAGGGGTGTGGAAATGCTATGCCCGACTCGCCCAACTCGTACATTTGACAGAATGGACAAGCATTTTTTTGAGTCTTTGTTGGCCATGGACATGTAAAAAAATATGTTGCTTGACAATGTTAATTTATATAACCATATAGAAAAGTCCTCAAAATTTATTAATCAAAGTAGAAAAAATATCAAATAACATGACGAAAGCAACATGTTTTAAGTACAACAACATCAATGATCAAGATTGAACAATTCATCAATTATTTGGTTTTCATATCTTCATTAACTTTAAAACTTTGCACAGGCTCACAGTGAAGAAAATATAAGTCATTATATAATCTCCGAGGTTCATGCAAGCTAGCATCGAAAAACATTGCAAAATTGGCCTAGATTTTTTAGTTTAAAGTAGTTTTTTTTGGTGGTTTCTATCTCATTGGTGTATACTCTATTTATCTTTTTATCATTCTAACATACAAACAAAGACCATGAATACCATTTTCATTGTGTTTCAAAACTGTTTTAGAAACATACACGTTTACAGTTAAATACAATTTCTTCATTCCAAAATTCATTAAGAAATCAGGGCAAGTATCTTTACTTCCGGACAAGTCAAATTTACAATTTCACTTGCCCTGGGACAACTGGTCACAACAAATATTTCCACACCCCTGCTTGCTGATCATTTTTACAATTTAAAATTTTTCTCCATCTATTATAGTTTTCAAGATAATAGGCAAAAATAAAAAAAAAAGGTAAAATTTGTCATTTAAGGAAAATAACTCATATTAGAAGTCCTCTGACAGTTTTGGCATATATGGACAATTGGTAGAGCTCAACATTCTGAACGTTTTTGCTCAGTCTGATTTTCTCTATTTATAACGGTTTTCAAAATAATAGACAAAACTTGCATTTTGCCCCTCTGTTCTATTTTTAGCAATGTCGGCCATCTTGGTTTGCAGGCGAGGTCATGGGACACATTTTATAAACTGGATACCCCAATGATGATTGTGGCCAAGTTTGATTTAATTTGGCCCAGTAGTTTCTGAGGAGAAGATTTTTGTAAAAGTTAACGACGAAGGACGACGGACGCCAAGTGATGAGAAAAGCTCACGTGGCCTTTTAGGCCAGGTGAGCTAAAAAAAAACAGGTGTCTTTTTTTTTCTCCTTCAAATTCAACTGAGTCTAAAGAGTTAAAAGTAACATAATATCAGTAATTTACTGAACATTCGAAAATTAAAATAGGCAATAAGATATTATCTACAGATGAATCACTCGCAAATAAATGTACATTGAAGACACATACATCGGACACCAGAAAACACATCCAACTTAAAACAAATTTACCAACGTTATCTATAGATGTGGTTTATTTTATATAAATGATTGATTGATTATTTGCAATAGATCAAATGCCAACCGAATCATGCCTTTTTTACTTGCCTGAATGATCAAGGCATTTAATTGTAAACAAGGTTATAATGTAGGTTTTTCACATACCAAACATTATATCTAAAGTTCTTATAATACATGAGGTAAAAATGTCAAAAATTGGGAATTTGCCGCAACTATTTTGAAATATGAAGACAAATATTTGATGCTGCCAATTTTTGAAGGGTAGTCCCTGATGAATTCAATCAACTTATTCTAAGTTGGTTTCTTATTTCTCAACATTTTTTATGGCTGTTTTTTTTGTTGTCCTAAAGTTCATCTAAATTAAATGTGTTATACTCACCTCTCTCCAAGCATTTAAGTATTCCTTATTATCATCCCAGTCGACCTGTGTACAGATTGGATTCCCTTCCATCTTGTCAAAGTTTGGTGACACAGAGGCAATGACATAATAAAATTCCCTCCAGAATAACTGTCCTAATAATGATGTTGGGGGCTGAGTGTGATTCTGAAAGAAATATATTATTATTATTTAATTCTAAATTCTATTATACTCTAGCCTTCTATTCAAAACATGATGTTTCAAGATGATATTTGTTTGCATGGACCAATATCAATTGAGGCATAGATTTAGTCAAAGTTAGTGTATTTTAGGTTCAGGACCTTCGTAATTCGATTTCAGGACAACTATAAATCATTGAGGACCACCTGAAATATTTCAGTACCTCCATAATTTGATTTCAGAATATCCAGTAACTATTTCAGGACCTCCATAATTCAATTTCAGGATGTCCTGAAAATATTTCAAGATCTCTATAATTCAATTTCAAGACATCCTGAAAATATTCAGGACCTCCATCAGGGCTCACACTACTTCAAAATCATAGGGAGAAGCGACTTCTCTTTTTGAAACTGGTAGGGAGAAGTGGTGAGATTTGAAAGAGAAGTGCTCGTTTGCTTGCGGCGTTACAATATTTGGTTTTTACTATAATATAAAGGGCCATATGTGTATTTTTTTTTTTTGTATAGGTGTTCAATTTATACCAGAGTCAATTAAAGTAACAGTTGTTTCAGTTTATGTCTTAAATAGTCATTGACAGTTGCACAATTATATTAATCCTCGTCAGAATCTATCAACTAAATATCTAGCACAACAAAGAACTTTTTTATATCGAAAAGGAAAAGAAAGTATCCTATATCAATTAAAATGCAATTAAAAAACTATGCTGTTTATCATCTTAATGAAATTCATTGTTTCTCATTAAAAAGATATAAAATTTAACAAAGTTGAGCAACTTTGATCAATAAACTGAAACCATGCATTTACATGGAAATATATACATTTAGCAAGGAGATCTAACCAAAAGTCTGTTAATGCGTGTGGAATGCGTAATTTTTACTTTTGGGGTCATTATTCTTTTGTCAGCTGTTCAATTCAGGCGTCTGTAGTTATTATAGTAAGAATACGGATTTCGGTCATAGCTGGTCCGCTTTCGATGAATCCCGCCTCTGATCAGTGATTCGTACAAATATTTCAATGGCGGACGAAGAAAATTTACGAGAATAAACAATGTTTGACAAGCGATTCGGAAAGGAATATGACACATTTAATGCAATGAATGGATCAAGAATTAACTAATGGCAATTTTGATCACTTTCTAACGAAGTAACAAACTTATTTTGCCGAAAATCAGAATGTTTTGATATATACTATCTCGAGTAACAAGTACCGGAAGTGAAAGAAAATACTTCATAAAAGTTGTTTCTCTGATATAACATACAACCAATCTGTACAGTCAATACTTTCACATCTTTTCTAAAGAAATAAATCGTTAATGTCTGAATTTCTTCACTTTTAAATGAAAAATATGCTGTTTCATTGACTTGGTAAAAAGGGGAAATTACCAATGACAAAAGAGACTATTGTGAACACCAGGGCGACTAGATATCGCTTTTGACAGTCCGGCAAAGCAAAGTGACGGACGGGAAAGCGACTTTTTCGCCCAGTTGCCTGCTAGCGTGGGCCCTGCTCCATAATTTGATTTCAGAACATCCTGAAATTATTCAGGATCTCCATAATTTGAATTCAGAATATCCTGATATATTTCAGTACCTCCATAATTCAATTTCATTATTACCTGAAAATATTTCAGTAGCTCCATAATTCAATTTCATTATTACCTGAAAATATTTCAGTAGCTCCATAATTCAATTTCAGTAGCTCCATAAGTCAATTTCAGTAGTTCCCTTAATTCACTTTCATGATATCCTGAAAATATTTCAGGACCTCCATAATTCAATTTCAGGATATCCTGAAATCATTCAGGCTCCATAAATTGAATTGAGAATATCCTGATATATTTCAGTACCTCCATAATTCCATTTCAGAATATTCTTAATAAAACAACAGACACAGTCCTAACATTGTTTATCTCATCATACAGAAAATTTTAGTTGTGAAATATTGGTATTATGTAATCATTGGTTTCTGATAAATGGCTAAACACAAAACTTGAGGAAGAAGCTTGGTCCACTTTAAGCAGTTACCAGGTTCAAACTAGTTTATTATTCATAAATAGTCTAATCATAGCTAGGTACATCATTAAAAAAATACTAATGACTCTAACTCTTTTCATTATTCAAAAGTTAACTCATCTTAACTCTGCTCATTATTTAACAGATACCCGGTCCTCTCCTAGCCTCCTTATTCCAACAGTTATTTAGTACTTGTCTCAATCCAATTTTTTATTCAGAAACTTTAATTTATATTATTAGAGTATAAACAATTAACTGGTCCAAACTTCATTTCCTGTTGTTCATGATCAGTGTTAAGTTCACTATTAATCAGTATCCATGGTTACCAAGCCTTAATTTCACATGCTCACCTTGTTTTGGCTGTAAACTTTCTGTACCTCATGGTAGAAGGTTCTTGCAGAAACACAGCCAAATTTTAAGTATGGACTTAACACGGTTGTGGATGGTGCCAAGGTGTTAGGCTCTGTTTTGGGCTTTTCAAACTTGCACACCCAATTCTGAAAAATTGTAAGAATACTAACATTGTGATTACATTTTTTTTCATAAGACAAATACCAATTGCATTTGAATATTTGAATATTGAAGGAGAAAGGGTGTGAAGGCCTATTTTTGGCCAATGAAAATGAAGCTTTGACTACTACATCAAATGTGCTTATATTGTAGGGAAATGCATACAACCAAGATTTATCACTGAATTGGACAAGATTTACTATATATTATGATGTTATAATACTATAAAGTGGGAAATTGTTGCGATGGTTTTATCAGCTCATTTCGAACCCCAAAATTTTTTAAAAGATAGCAATTTATAAAAATTCCCAGTACGTGTCTTCTGCCAAGTTTGGTTGTTGTTAGATTGATATCCAGAGGCAAATATTTTATGCATATTCAAGAAAAAATGGATGTTTAACAGCAACATACAAATAAACAATATAATAAATATTAGTACTGTTTTCTTCATCATAGTATCCAGTCTCTTCAGACCCTCTGTTTCACCACCAGGAAACAGCAGTGGTCCACATTCAGCATCATCCTTCCCAAGGTCAGCCATGGTTGGTACACCATACTCTGTATCATGATTGGCTGCTATTTTGGTCGTTATTTCTAAATTAAAAAAAATTGGTACAGTTATGGTCATTAGATGAATTGAAAATAAATAATTGAAGATTTAGAACCATGACAAAGATGCTTTGTTCTTACTGTATTGGAGGGACATAAAGCTGGAGGAAGTGGAAGATCTACTCTATTTGCTATAAAGTCAGCTTGTAATGTCATGCAGACTTCTAGATTGGCCTGCTAAATTGATGAAAAATCAAGAGAAAGATTCCTATATTTGAAAATGATTCATAGGTTAATTATGGACACAGTACTGATCATCAAAGACTCCCTGTTATTTTCCATGTTAAGTTTTAAGAATTCTTTTTCATATATTTGTTGTGTGAATTAAAAGTACAGTAATGCTGTGTAAACTTCAATGAGACAGCAAGCTAACAATGCAAGAAACCAAATACTATGTGGTATGTAGTCTTAGGCAAAACCATGAAATCACATATCCAACAAATACAATTTTTCCGCAATCCACGAAAAGAAATATTCATAGTAAATAGTATGTATTTACAAGTTGAGTTAATTTAACATACTGCCAATGATCTGCCTTCGGCATCAAATTCTATAAAAGGCAAAAATGGATAACCCTTAACCGGGTTTCTTGCTTAGGAAAAGCATAGAAACATATTTGCATTGACTTGAGTCCGTAGGGAGCTAGATTTGGGGTACATTTATACCATATCCATCCTTTTTAACCTGTTATAACTGACTGTATATTAATCATTTGTTACACATATTGACAGTAACATCCAAACTGGATAAAAACCTTCAGCTTCTTTTTGGGTTCAGTGGTGTTAAAGACTAAAGGGCAAATTAATAATCTAAAAGAAGGAAACCTCTTTAATATAAGCGAAAGAAATGTCACAAAATTGTTTGTTTTATAAATCCATAAATTTATGATGACCAAGTTAATAATAAACATTTCCTAATTAATTCTTCCTGGATTTTTAAAAATCATTGACAATTATGATCAGTTTTATCAATTTTAATACACCAAATATTGATGAGGGTCTGGATAGGGTCCCCCAATTCTTTATTCTTTAATTCTTAGGTACATTTTTCTCCATCGTTTGTTTATTTTCTCATGTTTCTCTATTTTTTGCCCATTTTTCTCTATTCTTTAAATTTTTTGCCTATTTTTCTCCATTCCTTAATATATTAATCCTTTATTCTGCACTTTTTGCCCATTATTGTCTATTCTGTGAACCCATTGTCCAGACTATAATTGATTAAATATATCACATGAAATTTCCTGCCATATCTAAATGGTACATAGCACTTAACATTTTCCTTTGTGTCATTAGAGAAACGGATTCTACCACTTCACTCAGTAAATAACAATATTTATCCACTTATGATAGTTAAATTTTGAAACTTTAAAATGGTGTGTAAACTTTGAAATTTTAAGTTTGAAAATTTGACAATTTTCAGTGGGAAAATATTATTAAAAGAGGGGGGTGGTGCTGTAGAAAGTATATGCATTGTTTTAATTGTTTACCAATTTTCGAATTTTCTTTGAAAAATTTCAAGAAAAATTTCACTTATTATGTTTATGGACATGATGGAACCAAAGAAAATTTCTTTGACTGATATGTGTAATGTCATGATAGGTTTATAGTCATTTCAGAAATAACTGTAAACAAAGGTATAACAGAAAAGATTAAACTACCTTTTGGTCCCTCAACAGGCTTAGGAGGTGCTCCCATTTTTGAGAGAACCGTTTGTAGACGTTGGTAGGTCAATGGAGGATTTCCACCGTTAGCTTTGATAACTCTGCAATAAATTATAACATTTTAGGCAAAAACATTTCAATTTCAATTGTTATCAAACATTGTGTCGAAGAGAAAAAAAAATTGTAGGAAAACAACATTTCTAAATATTAATACAAGTATAGTGCTATTTTTTCCAGAAAACTTGAAAAAGTGAGTACTCCCCCTTACACAATATTTGTGTAGGAAATTTAATAGTATTTTTTGTAATTTATGGTACATCCTTAATGTAAATGTACTAAAAATTTGACTGCAGCTCCCTTCTGAAAGGCAAGGATGACCTATCATTAGTTTGGCTAGTTTTTTTAGGCACCATATTGGATTTGATTGTCTTAAAAATGATTATGTATTGGTTTGTAACACTTTATTCTCAAGAATACCTGAATAAGGTTATTCCAAGATCATAATTTGTATGCACTTCAATAAACATCAAAATTTTCATTATACATGTACATGCATATATATGTGTGCAGCATGAAATTTGTGAGCTGTCAAAAAATGTAAGTGTCAAGGATGGGCAAATCTCATGCCCGATTTCTCCTAAAATCTCCCAGAAAAGTAAATATGTTCTGGACAAGTAATATCTGAAAAAGCACAACCAGTAGGGAAAAGTAAAAAAAAAAAATACAGGGAAGTAGATTTTTTATATAGTACTTGTCCTTGGTCAATTGAAGAATTTTGACATTTCCACACTCCCGTGTGTATAGTTGAAATTCCTGCCATCAAAATTTGTTGACTTTTCACAAGAGATAAACTGGTGGGTGAAAGGAGAGGAAAAAAGTCATATAAGTTGGGAATAAGACTTCTACATACAAGTCTAAAACATGTGTGAGTCTTCCAAGGATGTGCATGCTGGCTCTGAATAATATGAGCAATGAGTTGTGGATAAACAAACTGACATAAGCTGACATGGACAAGTCAAGTCATTGTTGTGATATGGGAAACCCCCAAAATCACTCAGATCAAAAATTAATATATCAGATATGAAGTAACTTGGCATCAAACTTGATTGAATTCTCTCAAGCTCTTTTCAATTAGTTGCAGATTAACAAAGTGTGCAATGGATGTGTCAGGGGAGGCAGCGGGGACAATAAAAACTAGAGGTTCTATAGACCCTGTGTCGCTCACCTTGGTCTAGTTCATATTCAACAAAGGACACTCTCCAACAATGTAGACGAGAATAAAATTCATGACAAAAATCTCTGTTTTGTAGATCTTGAATTGCTGATCATTTAGTCTGTTTTATTTCTCTATATTCTTTAGTTTTTGCTCAAAACACAAAAGAGGGCAAAAAGAAATCCTCATTTAAGGGCAACCACTGCTATAAAGGGTGACAGTCTACTAACTATATGGGCAAAATTTGACTTGTTAGTAGATCTTGCCTTACTGATTATTTTTGTGATTTAAAGTGTCGATTTACCTATTATAATTTTTGATCATATAAGACAAAACGCAAAAAATGGTAAAAATCGTCCTTAAAGGGCAATAATTACAATAAGGAGTCATAAGACGATTTTGACCATGCAGACTTATTTGTCTAACTTGTCTATTATAGTTTTCAAGATAATAGGCAAAAATTTAAAAAAAAAGGTAATAAACTGCTTCGCCTAGCGCAGCTGGATACGACTGCAGAGGTGCAACCCTGAACAGTTGGGGCAAAAATGGACACAATATTCAAGCTTGATACAGGTCTGAATTTGGATCGTAATTAAATATTTGACACATTATAGGTTTCTGACACAGAATAAATGTAGTCAGAGAACTTGAAATTGGTTGTATGATTTGAATTTATATTCAATTGAAGATTTCTTGCTGTTGTGCAATACACTGTGCTGTTGTGCAATACTTAGTAAATCTGTTTTCAGACTATATACAAAGAATTAGCAAAATAAATTGTGACCCCCCAATTTTTTTCTTTGGAAAATTGACAATTTCTTAAATTTTGAGGGAAAAAAATTGACCCCCCCCCCCCCCAAAATTTCTTTTTGTAAAATGTGGTACAAATTAAGAGACATCCATACACTTAAACACAAGTTATTGTCTGAAAACTAGAAAAATGCTTGTTTTAGACCCTTTTTTTCCCCTAATTCCTGAACGGTTTGGGCAATTACCCCCAAAATGAATCCCAACCTTCTACTTGTGTATTGAACCTTGTGGTACAATTTCAGAGCAATCAAAATACTTATACACAAGTTATTGTCCTGAAACTAGAAAAATGCTTGTTTTGGCCCCTAATTCCTAAACGGTTGGGACCATCACCCCCAAAAACAAATCCAACCTTCCTTTTGTGGTATTGAACCTTTTGGTTAAATTTCATAGAGATCAGTACACTTAAACTAAAGTTATTGTCCGGAAACCAAATGTCTTCGGACGATGCCGACGATGACGTGATACCAATATACGATGCAGTCGTATAAAAATTGTCATTTAAAGGAAATAACTCCTATTAGAAGTGGTCTGACAGTTTTGGCGTATACAGACAATTGGTAGAGCTCAACATTCTGAACTTTTGCTCATGTCTGATTTTCTCTATTTATAACGGTTTTCAAAATAATAGACAAAACTTGCATTTTGCCCCTATGTTCTATTTTTAGCCATGTCCGCCATCTTGGTTGACAGGCGAGGTCATCAGACGCATTTCTAAAACTAGATACCCCAATGATGATTGTGGCCAAGTTTGATTTAATTTGGCCCAGTAGTTTCAGAGAATAAGATTTTTGTAAAAGTTAGCGACGACAACGACGGAAGCCAAGTGATGAGAAAAGCTCACTTGGCCTTTCAGGCCAGGTGAGCTAAAACAAGATGTAAATAAGGATAAAAAAATAAAACTGAAAATTTAAAGCAAAACACCATCATAAGATGTGATTTGTACAAAAATAGACCAAGTTCATTTTTAACCAAGACTTAAAAAGTTGTAAACGAGGGAAAATAATATCCTCATTCATCATAAAATGTTGTTTTACACATTTACTTTTTCAAAATTTGTTTTAGTTCTTATTTTGTAAACTTTAAATTTAACAATATATATCTATATAACATCTTATATACTTTAAAATTTTCAATGTACAAAATAAAAATAAAACATTTCACAGATCAATAATATTGTTTGTTATACTGCATGTCTGTGAAAATCTTTGCATGATAAGGGACAGATGTTTTTATCTGTTATGTACATGTAGCATTTTGTTTCATTGTTAATCAATAAGAAATTTAAAAATATTTCTGTAAAAAGTCATAAAAATGCATATGTTTGAATAATATTTTTATTACTATAATTTTGGCAAAATTTTATCATTATTATCAACATTTTTTTCTTCTGGCTTTTAATCATGATTACCCTGATTATTAAAGAATTCTGATAATTATTAATGAGATTATTTGTCCAAATATTAATTGAAAAGATATTTTCTCAAAATTTATAAAATATCATAAATATCATGAATATCTGACTGCATACCCATATAGCATTGTAACATATAAAAGAGAATATACTGAAATGTCCAAATAGCACATACTCAAAAATAACACATACTCAAAATTAACACATACTCAAAAATAGCACATACTCAAAAATAACACATACTCAAAAATAGCACATACTCAAAAATAACACCTACTCAAAAATAACACAGCAAAACACATACCATAGGCCACTCTAAAAAAATTCCTTGTTTGATGTTGCCTACCCAGGTCTTCTTCAGTTGGGTAAGTAGGTACATGTAGGGATTTTATTTATTTTTTCGGCCAACTACATAAGTTATATGTTTTAGTTAAGAAAACGATATTAGACCAGGAAAAAAATCTTTAAACACAAAATTTGAAACAATTGTGTCATAAAATTTTTTGGGTAGGCTGCCTTTTAGGTGGGTAGGTAGGGCAACATCAAATAATTCAAATTTTATTTTTGGCCCTATGCAAAGAACTTTTCATTTTCACAATGCATATCAATATATTTTTGACATGTGTTGCTTCCTCACCTGTACACCATCCTAATACTTTGTGCAACCTGGGCAATTGCTAATATTTCATAAGTGAAACAAAACCCGTATTTTCACTCATCTGATGACATACAACAATAGGTGTTGAAAAGATGTAACCAAATTTTAAACAAAATGAAGTGAGAATGCACAGAAAGGAATGGGTATGATTATGATAAAAAATATTCACAGGCTGTAATGGATGCTATTGGACAATCACATACAAGAATCATCAATAGGATAGTCCTGAGGGAGGTGTTGTTTCAATTGGGTGGTAGAAAAAGTCCTATCATGTGACATCTTTTATGCAAATCCCTAGTTTTTCACACAGGTGAATTCACAGTCAGGGGCATTACTTAATCAAGTAACTTTTAAAATTACATATACAAGTTATGTTGAAAACGATGCTATTTTAAATATTACTTATATAAGTAACTTTTGTAAGTATTATTTTTATAGGTGTCCATTCATACAGATTTTGCTAGCTTTAGCAAATTTTCACAGACATTTGACTATTTTTCCCATGAAGTATAAAAACTAATCCTCCTGAAACATCAATTGCCTTTCTGACGCACTTATCTTTCATATTGACGCTTCTTGGTCAAAGATTGGTCTCTTGGGACTATTAAAATATCATTTTACTTGAAACTCTTGAGGTAGACAGATATAAATAGATAGAAACTTGTGATTTAATTAAGACTTGAAGTTATTTATAATTTGTAACCCAAAACAATTACAATTACTTATTCTTACAAAGATGTATAAAATAACTTAAACAAGTAATATTTTTGTCATTTTTTTTAAAGTAACCTTGTATCTCTATACTCCTCTCAAATTTAATAATTTCTTAATTTTATATGATATAATAATGTAAAATTTCATAAAAACTACATTTAGTTCATGCTTCTATTGAAATTTAAAATAACTCTATTGAGTAATTTAAATAATTTTTAAAAACAAAAATTACCTATATAAGTAACCAAAAAAAATAACTTGTTTAAGTAACGTCCCTGACTGATTCAAGCAAATGGAATACAATGTAATTTTATTAGACTTTATAAAAATTTGGACAACACTTTCCTATTTCGACAACCTCAGCGTGATGAAAACCTACCATAAGGTGACATCACCATAAGTTGTTGTATTGCATAGATTTCTGACTTATCAAGTGACTTTTTCGTGTGTAATACAAAACCGGAGAAGGGAAAACTGACTATCTGAAAACTAGAGTAAACTCCATATAAAACTTACTTATCAGTATCATACAGGGTATGGGAAACAAATGTCATCACTTCAACACCTGACTTTTCTGCCAGTGACTTAACTGCAGCATCTCTGACCTTGGCATAAGGTTCAATGTCAAGTTCAAAGGTCAAGTGAGTTGTCTCCCATTGCTTGAACAGTTCAGGAAAAACCTCTCCTGGAGTACCTCTAACAACATGTAACCTGTAAGTAAATGCGTAACTTAAAGGAGTTCACTGATTTTTCTTAAGACAGAACTTTATATCAACATGATCAATGTTATGTTTGTGGTTATATAACTGACACTCATATTTTGCAAACCCTTTTGGAATTTTTTATCCTCAATGCTCATCAGCTTTGTACTTTACTTGGCCTTTTAACTTTTTTGATTCGAGCATCAATAATGAGTCCTTGTAGACGAAATGTGCGTCTGGCGTGCAAAATTATAAGTCTGGTATCTGTGATGAGTTTATTTTTACTACCACTGGGTCGATGCGGTTTCTTCCCCAAGGGTATCACCAGCCCAGTAGTCAACACTTCTATGTTGATATGAATTATCATTGATATTGTAATATAAATAAATTAACTGTTGACAAAACTTTGAATTGTTCGAACAAACTAAGGATTTTCTACCCCAGGAATAGATTACCTTTGCTGTACATGTAATGACAAAACCATTTGGAATTTTTTTATCTTCAATGCTTTGCAACTTCCTACTTCAATTGGCCTTTGAACCTTTTTTTCCAGCGTCACTGATGAGTCTCTTGAAGAAGAAATGTGCATCTGGCATACCAAATTATAGGCCTGGTACATTGCAACTTTGATGAGTTTTTTATATATTAAAATAGTTCTTGTGTAACATTATACAATGCAAGAATTTAAAAAAAAAAAAAGGTTTTGCAAATCTCCTTGTATTCCTATTTATTTCAACAATAGAAAAATAATATATCCAACTATCCAACTGACCAACCTCATCTATTTTCATATATTTTACAAGAAAACACGACATATTATTCAAATGTTTACTTTTTTATTTTTATTTTTGCAACAGATCATTGGGATATTTTATCGAGGTATTAAATGTGAGCCGTTTTATGATTTTAAAAAAACAATTATTCAAATTGAATTTTTGTCAAGGTCCATCTAAATTCTAGTGTAAATGTAGGCAAATAATATATAAGGGGAGATAATCAAATAATACCATCATATTTACTGTAAACAAGTTGATTCAGTTAAGAATCACAATAATCATGATGATGGCGGTCATAATTTATAGTTTTATCTTGGTGATTATAATAATAAAATAAGATGTTGTATAACAGGGCCATAAATAAAGGTCACCCAATGACACATTCTGGACAGTTGACAGAATGGGTCAAATACAAAAAAATTAAAAATTTCTAAAAAAAATTTTAGAGTGTTTTTAGAATTCCTTGGTGAATATATATTACTGCACATATTTTGTTCCAAATCAAATTACACATGTACCTAGAATTATATTTTTTCAAACTTTGGTCCAAGTTTTGTAGTGTCTGTAACAGGAATCGCCATCTATTCACACCAACTCTTGCATTACTGGCAAACCATGGATCCAAGATGAAAATTGGTTTAACATCAACAGCATTCTCACAAGCAGCCAATAAAGCTGGGTTGTCATGGAGACGCAGCCCTTTGCGAAACCAGTGAATAGATCTTTTTGTCATCTGTAATAGAGAAAAATACATATACCTATCATATACTCATGTGGAGGTTCTCCAGATAAAGGTCAAATTATAGATTGCATTAATACGGATTCAAATGGGATAAGATTATTGACTTTCAAGCCATCAGTCATGTCAGTGTTGTATTTGAGCTTATTTTGACATAATTGAACCTGACTGACTAATTCTGACTACCATTTAACTGTTTTTCATTTTTGTATCAATGGCACGCCATGGTTATTTTTAGCAACAAGTAGTAAACACATGTATCATGATGGGATCCACTGGAGGTTTTAATGTTATCTCTCATTGTATTCTGCCTTTATATATTTATTACATTAATGACAATGTCACCATCATTGAATCCAAGCTGGTACAGTAATTAATTTTGAAGGGGAAATCATGCTCTCCAGGTACAAAATTGGTGCCAACCAAAAATCCCACAATCAGAAGAAATACTAGTCCAAGATTGCTCGGACTTCAAACAGCTGTTTTGCCAGACAAGCTGGGGCCGTGGGACATCAGAGCTGGTCCCATATCAAAAAGTGGATATTTGCCTGTCCAAAATGGATGCGCCACTTTGTTGCTTCTGGCGCTGACTGAGGGCCTTGGATCCATATAAACCAGGCTTTAAATTGTTCATTTTTCTTTTATCTCTTCATTTATGTAAGTTTCATCTACCTGCCACCCTTTATTTTCTCACATTTGGACAGTTTTCACAGTGACCCATCGATTCATAAAATATTTTATATCAAATATTATTGGAAGCCGAATTGACTTTAAATAGGTGCCGATTTGACCAGATGCCGATTTAACCAGGTGCCGATTTGACTAATGTACCCCCAGCTTGTCTGGCAAAGCAGCTGTTGGACCTCAGACCAATCTCGGACTAAAGAAATACCTAGCCAGGGGAAGTGATAAAGCAGTCCTCAATTTAGTCTACTGAAATGGTCGACAAAAAATTCATAACTGGTCGCCATTTAGGCTATTAGAATATTGAAAATCTGGCGACTGTAAATTTTTGGAAAGTTTGCCCTGATCAGAGTCGGGTTTTAAAAAATCGTCTGAGTGCTTGACAGTAACACAAATATTTACTGTATTTCAAGTGCCTTTTAGATTTAAGCTTGATCTTGTCAGTGCTTTATTGCATCAGGTACTTGTAGTTCATTGTAAGCAATTTGTTGTCGTTGACTTACTGACAGGATTTATATATATATCTATCTTCGTATTTCTGCACTCAGTCACAACTTGGACTATTACATGCCGTTAAAAAAAAAACCATTGTCATTTATAGATTGTGTTTATTGAAAGCACATGGTCGAGCCTCGTTCTTGATTTCGTCAGTAAATGGATGGAAACAAGGCTGGGACAATTTTGTAACTTGTTCTCAGATTCAATAAAATACTGGCTACAATTTAGCAAACAATTTCAGACGTTCACTTGACGGATCGGGCAATCACCAGTGCTTCTGCACAAATCCGATGAGATTTTTACTATACTTGGGCTTTGGGCTACCGCTTAACGTCGCAGACTGTTTTAAAATATGTACAATGTCAATGAATATAATATCAAATAAATCATGTGGTTTTTAACAGTTAATTTACACAAACTATTTTCTACACTCGTCAGCATAAAAACACAACAAAAACCACAAAGCCACAAAGGGACCCCAAATATTCGGCGGTCAGCAGTGACAAGACAAAATGAGAGCGCTGAACATACGGATATTAGCAATAAAAATTTCCACATCACCAAACTCGACTCTGATATTGAAGGTGATGATAATGAAGCAGAGTCTGACTCACACTTCATTCTTATAAATTTTGACATCAAAACTATTTATCATACTTGGAAAAATAAAATGCCAACAAGCAATGTCAACAGATTGTTATAATAACCCTAACAAACACCAGGGGTGATTGTATGTGCTCTTGAAAGGTAATCAGCTACTGCCCCACTAGTAACACCAGTTTATTTACATTGACAGAAAATACAAAACAGGCGGAACAGTTGAAACAAACAGGACACATTAAACAAAACAAATTGCTTGTCAGTGTTTAAGGATGTTCGCTCCTCTTTTTAAAAATAACAAGCTTTTTAAATGACTGTTATAAATTGATAGTATATAAATAACATAATTTAAATGGCAGAAAAAAATGATAGGTTCATGACCTTGTTTTCAAGATATAATCAATTGAAAACTTGGCGGGAAATGATTCTCTCTAGATTTTTCCTACATTTAACATTACCACCTTTTTTCTTTCAAAAACTATGAAAAAATAACAAGGATTTTATAAGATTTTCATAAAGGCAGTGTCTGCGCGTACCCGCATGCGGGTACGAATAGTCAAATTGCCATTCATAGGCTACGCGTACCCATATTCGGTTTTATGATAAAATGCCATCGGATCGGGAATGAAACGTGAAATATATACAGAATTTGTCGCAATTAGTGAATAAATTGATTAAAACTACTCAGAATTTTTATAAATATTTATATATAAGTTAGTGAACAGTTTTTCTCAGTTAATAAATATTATTAAAATGGAAGAGAGTGATATACATGTGGGGAAGACATTTCAAAGTTATCATGAATTGGAACAATTTGTTCAGAACTATCAGTCGATTAATGTTATACAATTGTATAAAAGAAACTCGGAGTCAATTGCAGCTGCAGAGAAAATAAGAACTGGAAACACAAAAATTAAAGAGGAATTAAAGTTTAACAGAATAAATTTTTCCTGTATTCACGGTGGCAAAAAATTCCAAACAAGTTCGACAGGAAAAACACCTAATACAAGGTATTTGTTTTAAATTGTAGTTTTAAATCGAATTTGCCACGTTTCATCCATTAGTCAAGTTTATTTTTTTTATGTCGAATACTTCTAGTTTTTCTATTGTAAACCGTTCATGATATTAAGGATATGTCTACTTTCAGTACTTTCCAAATGGAATGTCCTTTCCACTTTAAACTTGGCGTAACTAAAGATGGACAAAACCTGATTGTGAGGGAATCACACAGTTCTCATAAATCATGAGATCATTGATAAATGTTTATTTGACCATCTTCCTAGACACCCAAGCTTTAATTTTAGTCGTTTAAGATATTTTAAAATTTCAATTTCTGTTTAACAGTTTACTAAAAGATTAATATTAAATCTCATATGGGTATTTTTCAAAATCAGTAAAATTTTATTCTTTAAATTTGCATTTACATTTTATAATAGTATCTGAATTTTTATCATGTTTTTCTTTTACAGGGACTGTACAGTTTCATTTTCCATCAGTGTGCATTTAATTTGCAATGTTTATTATGTATCATTATCTAATAAATACAATTTGTAAATATTATTTTTCATACTCTTCACTCGTTCTACACAAAATCCCCATATTATCGATAATTTCCGTATATATTTCACGTTTCATTCAAGATCCGATGGCATTTATTATAAAACCGGATGTGGGTACGCGTAGCCTATGAATGGCAATTTGACTATTCGTACCCGCATGCGGGTACGCGCAGACACTGCCTTTCATAAATGGCTTGTCAAACTATATAAATCAAAATTATGAACAGAAAAGTAAGGGTTAGTGTGAAAATTGTTTTATTGGCACTAAATGGATAAAACTAGACGATTCTGAATATCTGACAAAAAATTCAAAAAGAAGAGTAGCGAACATCCTTAAACCAAATAAAACAGCTGTCACATACCTGCATACATGACATACATTATACTTGATAGAAGCATATTTAAGATAAAAGGGGATGAACATCTTTGTTTGATATGGTTACATTATGACATGCCTCTATTCAATAATTAGATGATGAAAAACCCCAATAGTCAATACATTCACAGGGGCGCGTGGGGTATCATAGATGTTTTGGGGCGGAAATATATGCCAGTCGACTGGTATGCGTTATACATTGTGTTAATATCCGCTTTAACTAAAACCTTTTTGTTTCGTCTATTAATCTACGACTTGATGTGTTTTCTTGTAAACAGACAGAAGCAAATCACAGTGTTCAGCCACAAACAAAATACGTTGCGTAACACAAAATATGGCGCGCAAATATTATATATAAAGAGCGAAGTCGGAGTGACTAGGTACGAATTCCGTCAATGTAAAGGTAGCAACGTACAGTATGAAAACCTTAATTCAAAGGGGCATTAGCTGTCGAAATTCGTGATCAGAGGCGGATTCAGAGGGGGCCCAGGGGGCCTTTTCTTGGAAAAATTTGGTTGATAATATAGGGAATCACTGAAGCATGACCGGAACGGCGGGCCCCCTCTTAGGCAGTCAGTGGGCCCCCACTTATGAAAATTTCTGGATCCGCCACTGGTGATCACCGATTTGACTTAAATTCTCATATTTGATTCATAACATACTAAAACGTAAATCCAAATTACAAAGAGTTCAAAAGAAACAATTAACTTTATTACTTTATTGAAAAAGCACTCTGAGTTACGCATATATATATGGGTCAATGGCTTATAAACCGGCATACAATACATACTATAACAACAGAGACACATAACACACGTATTATTCTCTGATAAAAAACAATGAAAATAAACAATACATATGATTATGATGTTTTTTTTTATCTCTTACTTAATTAACAATACATAGACTCCGTATTAGGCGAGTGACATATTTCAAAAAGACGCTTAGTTAACGACTTTAATGCACCCACCTAACACACGGCTGTATTATATATCATTCGAAAGCTTATTATCTGTACTTTCTGTTTTGCCCGGTCGTAAAAAAATCGTACGGTGCATTTTCTGAAAAATCAAGGTCAAAGATCATGAATAAACATTCAATTATTTTGTGATTAATAAACACAAAGCCATTTTTCTAGTTCTTGTATCATAAAATTTTCCAAAAGATCATATGAACTTTATATAACATGATGCATTATTTCCAAATCAAACAAAAAATAAGAGGATAGTTGCGCAATATTTCCCGAAAATTGAAATTCATAACAAATCCTACAAAAATGAAAAAATTGTTCCAAAAGCAAAATATATCTTAGGGGATCTATATTTGTATGCTAAAAAAATAGATAAATGTATATGTTTTAGGTCAAGGAATATTTGTTTTAAAATTTTAAGATGCAATTATTAACTATTGTTCATAGAACAGCCTTCTATTGAAGTGTTTGCAGTTGCCCAAAAAATTGCCATCTGCAAAAAGCGATCATTTTGTTATTCTATGTTAAGATAGCACATCGCTAATTGTCAATAGCAGGGATTATAATGATTTTCCATAATAAAATAAGGGGTGTTTAAAGTTCGAAAAGAAATATACGAGCTAATTGAGATAAAACTACGGTTTTTTCGAAGTCAAACTTATTTACCTTGTGTAATCATGTTTAAATGCAAACATGACTTTGTGACTAAATCGTAGGCAATATTGAAATAAGTAACCATCGTTAAAAACACTTGGTTGTCTTAAGCGGGATGTAAACGAACTAAATATAATGCTGCTGCTTTTTATTTTGTTTAAAAACGTGTTACATGTTAAATGTGTTTAGAAGTTTAATCTCTTTAATTATTCGAATGAAAGATGCTTTGAGTGTTTTCAACATAAGCTTTTTCAAATACAAATTCAGGTCATTGGGTATGTAAAACATTATAGGTGTTATTAAAGAAACGAAAAGATTGAATACCCTTCCTGATCTCATAAGATCATTCGTTGTTTATGCAGTGATCGTTTTCATGCTGTGCTGTGTTGTGTGGACTGTTGTTCGTCTCTTGGACTTTAATTCTATTTTATTCATGGTTTTTATTTAAGTTTCTTTGATTCATGTTTTGAGATTGATTGTCCCTTTGGTATCATTTTACTTCCAAGACATTAAGTTGCAGTAATTAAAATCGGCAAAAAAATCGCCTCGCAGTAAAGTGAAGAAGATTGAAAGCAATAAGATAGATATCCGCAAAAATAAGTTAATTTGCTCACGGTGATATATATATATATATATAGAACCAAATCGTAATCATGATACATTTAACTACAATTTTTAAAACTTTTACTACTTAAAGAGA